CAATTCTTAAATATAGCTTTAATGGGAGGTGATGCATTCTATTATTGTTAAGAAGCACAACAGAGGCTAAATGCTATCCTCCCCATGGTCCCTCCTTACAAATGTGGTGCAGCTGTCTGGCACTTTCAATGCGATCATTTGATACAATCATTAACGCTAGCTACCTGCTTAGTATTTGCAAAATTACATTGCATGTGCAAAGAATTGAGGTGATATTTTGAAAACCACTAGTTAATGTATTTATCAACTGTGGTTAGAAAGAACAGTTCCTCCAAAAACAGTTCACAATTACCAGTGTTCAAGATAGGTTGTTTTATTCAGTAGCCTTTGATGAATCTGGTAAAGTCTGATCACATCCAAGTGTCATTAAAGATTAGGGTTATCCTGGAATAATCAATCCCAAAGAACAAAAATACATGTTTCTACAAAGATTTGATAAAATCTCGCATCCAGCTGGGTGTACTGGCTCACATCTGTAATCCCAGCACTTTGGGAAGCTAAGGTGGGCAGATCACTTGAGGTCAGGAGTTCTAGACCAGCTTGGCCAACATGGTGAAACCCTGTCTCTATTAAAAACACAGAAGTTAGCCAGGCGTGGTGGCATACACCTGCAGTCCCAGCTACTTGGGAGGGTGAGGTAGGAGAATCGCTTGAACCTGGGAAGTGGAGGTTGAAGTAAGCTGAGATCGTGCCACTGCACTCTAGCCTGGCGACAAAAATGAGTGAAACTTCATTTCAAAAACAAAACAAAACAAAACAAAACCCTCATATCCTGTAGACAAAAGCCACATTTCACTTAAAAAAAAATGTGATAGCAAATTGGATGCAAAAATAGCAGATGACCTTATAAGATGTTATTCTTAGAAAAGGGCAGCAACATTAGGCAATCTATTATGAGATGAATACTATTTTTGTGGTTAAGAAAGCAGAGTTCATGAGCTTCCTTGAAGAAGTGTTTGCCAAATCCAGCTAAAACAAACCCTTAGCAGGAGAGAGCAAAAAAATCTTTTCATAATTTAGAAATTAAGCTGTACAAGCAAAGCTTGCCTTGAGAAATGCCAATGTATGAAAATCAAGATGTAGAGAGGTAGTTATACATATTAAAACAAAATGCAATAAAATAGCAAGCACTTCTAGTACATTTATTTACAACATGACTATGGTTTGACTACGTTGGTCCACATACCATTCTTTATATATATACTTATTGTTTATTTGATTTTTGCTCAAAGTATGCAGGTCTTTGTTAAAGGGATCTTAAATTCAAGATGTCTTAGAACAAACTTCTGATTTCCCTCCACTCATATCTACTTTCTTTTGTATTACTCCTGAATTATTATTTTTATATTGGCACCACCAACCATTTTCTCCATCCAGCTGCCCAAGCCAGCATTTCTGACACCATCCTGAGTACCCTCTTCATCCTTACTAAGCTCCCTACTGGCTTTATCCTCACCATGGCCTCTTGAACATAGCCTTCTTTGTTGCTTTTGTACTGGCCAAAGGTTTCACAATTACTTCTCTCAGATTTCTACATCTGCCTCTTAATTATTCTTTCTGCTTTCAGTGTCAACACTTGTATACACTCCCTGGCTCCTCATTCCCATAGGGTACCAGATGACATTTTTGAAATGCCAATCTTATGGTATCACCTGAACAGCTCTCCATCACCTAACAGATACAAATCAAATTCTAAAAGTATTCCAAGTTAAGCCTAACTCTCCAGCTTTATCCTTTATCATGTATCCACCCAGAGCTCTATTTATAGGAGAGAGGAAAAAGGCTAATATTTAAAAGAAGAATCAGTAACAGTTTAAGCCAGTAACAAAATAAATCCTTTGTACTTAGAAGTATTTAAAATATATATTTGACACATTTGTTGCATTTCCTAGTTTACAAGCAGTATGTATTAATGAGCCATATTTTTACAACACAAAAAAAGCATGAGTAAATGCATTCAGTGTGATAACTGTGGTCCAAACCTACAGTATGTTTACTTGGTATGTTTGAAACTGCTGTAATGGTAGCTACCGTGGGGCATGTCAAGAGTATCTGGTAATAACTAATGAGGCTCTCTCAAACTCTGGAAATGAAGCCTGCTTTTATGTTTTTAAAGAACCAGAACTGTGATAATACCCATTTAACCTTCCTTTGATTTAGATGGAATTTAAACATATTCACAATAACTATAATTGTACTAAACATCAGTTATGCACAACTAGGAGTCATTTCCCTTTACGGGACATACAGGAATCATGCTGCAGATTTCTAACTAAATCTGTTTAGTTCCAACTAGTCCAGCTAAACACTGCCTGGCCCACAGTTGATGAAACGCTTCCCTCCTTACCGTGGATGCTCTTCCCCGCCACCCCAAACCTCAAGAAACACTGCCATAGAAAGCTATGTTCCACCCCTAGCAGTGTGAGTGAGGCATTTTCTTCCTGTGTGTTAGAGTAGGAAAAGAGAGAGAGCACACTGCCTTTGGAATAAATGAGATGTTGGACTGAAATGCAAAATTAACTTATGCTTTATTCTAAAGCTGCACTGTTCAATACAGTCATCACTAGCCACGTGTGGCTATAGATCACTTGAAATGTGCCTAGTCCAAACTGAGATGTGCTATAAAATATACAGCAGATTTCTAAGATTTCACATGCAAAAAAAGAAAAAAAAGAAGGTGTCTTATTAATGACTTCTTATATTGATACATGTTCAAATAATGATATTTAAGATATACTGGGTTAAATAATGAGTTATTAAAATTATTTTTGCCTGTTTCTTTTTCCTATTTTTTAATAAAAATTGTATTTACTTAGAAGCATTCAGAATGTCAACAAAACAGCTATACCTTTTTTTTTTTTTGCGACTAGAGTGGTATTCAGTTAACAGAACAACTATTTCATATAAACTGCATCAGAGATAACTGAAGATGAAATAACTACCATCCCCATATATAACTCATTTGTATTGTGCACCAAAAAGAACCTGTTTTAAATTTCCACGCCAATTTACAACCCCCATACTGTACCAGGCACGGTACAGCGCCTATCGAAAATATCACCAGGACAGGGCTATCTAAAGACATATGTGGTAGTGTGTTAACTGTACAAAAAAAGGCACTGTACAGTTTAAAAACAAATCTTACACAGCCTTATATTTCAATTTTCTTCTTTAAAAGGAGTGAGTTGTGTGCAAGGGGGTTAAAGCTCTATAGCAGGGGTCCTCAGTCACCCCCAACCCAAGAGTCTATGGCCTGTTAGGAACTGGGCTGCAAAGCAGAAGGTGAGCTGCAGCGGGCAAGTAAGCATCACCACCTGAGCTCCGCCTCCTGTCAGATCAGTGGTAGCATTAGATTCTCACAGGCACGTCAACCCTATTGTGAACTGCGCATGTGAGGGATCTAGTTTGCACACTCCTTATAATAATCTAATGATAAATGTAATGCACTTGAATCATCCCGAAACTATACCCCACCACCATGGAAAAACTGTCTGCCATGAAACTGGTCCCTGGTGCCAAAAAGGCCGGGGACTGCTGCTTTATAGACAAGGAAAAAAAAAACTGCAATAGAACCAATTGCCTCATCATTGTCTTCTTCATCTTCCTCCTCCTCTTTATCTTCCTCCTCTTTCTTTACTTTCCTTTTTTTTTTTTTTTTTTTTTTGGTCTTGCTGACTCCCTTTTTTGAAAGTATCAGGCTTTCCTTTCAGTTCAAAATGCAGCAATATTCTTTCGGTATTTTTCCGGCAGCTTCGCAGTCGTCTTTTCTTAAGGCTGTTTGTCATATGCAGCAGTGTCTTACCACATCTCTCCCAGTTTCTTCTCAACATCATCAACGGATAGGCCAGGATGTTCTCCTTTGATTTTAGGGTGAAACTCAGAACAGAACAGAAGAAAGGTCAAAAGAGGTTTCTTGGGTACGTGTCTCTGAGAAATTCTTAGAAAACTCTGAGAAGTTGATGGAAGCCTCTGGGTGCTACTTCCTGTTCTCCTCCCAACAAGTTTGCACAAAGAATGCATATGATGACTTTTTGCCTCTTGGCTTCTTAGGATTTTGCCTCTAGGCTTCTTAGGATCTCCTTTGCTCATGTTAAGTTATTTTTCCTCAGCAAGGCAAGAGTCACCCAGTGCCCACCTGGCTCTCATTTGCCCTGGTACTGTCTCTATGGAGCTCAAAATACCACAATCACTATCTTTTTTTCCTATTTTCAAAGTAGCTATTACAAATTTTTTTATATTATAGATATAGTTCACATTAAATTTCTATTAGACAGTGCTGCTTGAACGTTCTTTTTAGATAAACAAACGACCAGTAACTTGTTTATTACTTGCCTTTCTATATAATAAAAGCAGAGTACAGAATCCATACTGACAAGGGGAGGTAAGAGTAGGAGGAAGAATCTCATTATTTCTATTTCTTGATTATTTACATTTTGAGCAGATATAAGGAGGAAAAAAATATGTTGCATCACATCTAAATGTAAACCTATTCTGCAGAGGCAACCTATGGCATGGGCATCACAAAAGTGGTATAATGGTACTCCTAAACACTTTGGAACATTCTCATATATCCAATCTGTGCAACAAAGCCAATGGTCCACCTCGTATGACAGTGCTACTGGTCCACCTGAAGTTTCAGTTTTAACTTTTTTCCATTTTGCTGCCAACGATGATTTACACAGAAGGACATTTACGAATTATCTAAGGACTCTTTGGAAGTGATACTTGCAAATGCCCAAGCTTTGTTGATCCAGAGAGCATATCCTTCATTAATGGCAAAGTGACATAAATTATTTTAAAAATTCATATTGATAATCGGAATTCTAAATTCACAATGCCATTCTAAACAGGTGACACATTATAATCTAACACTAATGTGTGCTTATAATAAAGAGCTTATAGTACACAGAAAATTATGAATTTTGAATGTCATTTTTAACACCAACCAAAAGAAGAAGAGTGTAACATTCTCTTTAAAACACACACACACACACCGCTCCGGAGCGTCTGGAGGAGGCAGGTGCAGGTACGGGCGGCGCCGGTTCAGGGGCTGCTGGAGGCCCAGGAGGCTCGGACGCGGTGCAGGAAGCTGCCTACCACGCCGGCTCCTGATCGCAGGCGCCCACAGCGCGGACATGGCGGGCTGGTGGCCGGCGTTGTCGCGCGCGGCCCGGCGCCACCCATGGCCCACCAACGTGCTGCTCTACGCCTCGCTCTTCTCGGCCGGGGACGCGCTGCAGCAGCGACTGCAGGGCGGCGAGGCCGACTGGCGCCAGACGCGGCGTGTGGCCACGTTGGTGGTGACCTTCCACGCCAACTTCAACTACGTGTGGCTGGGCCTGCTGGAGCGCGCGCTCCCGGGCAGCGCGCCACGCGCGGTGCTGGCCAAGTTGCTCTGCGACCAGGTGGTCGGTGCGCCCATCGCGATCTAGGCCTTCTACACCGGTATGAGCATTCTCCAGGAAAAGGATGACATATTTTTGGACCTGAAACAGAAATTCTGGAATACCTATCTGAGCGGACTGGTGTACTGGCCCTTTGTACCGCTGACCAACTTCAGCCTTGTTCCTGTTCAATGGTGAACAGCTGGAGTCTGTGGTTTTCTCTGGGCCATCTTTGTCTGTTTTTCCCAGCAGAGTGGTGACGGCACATTGAAGTCAGCTTTCACCATTTTACGTACAAAGTGGACCAGTGCCATAGAAGGGTCCCCGGAGAAATGAGAACTCAAGGACTCTCTTAAAGGGACCACATATTTGACCTAAAATGCACAGAATTGCCTGTAGACAAAATACTTGATGTGCCAATTATGCATGTCATTTTGAGGAATTACTGCTATTTATAAACCCACTTAAAAAAATTATGACTATTTTTGAATTGTATTCAGATGTTTTTTCCTGTTCTAGTCTGAAATATTACTTCTCTAATTTTTTGGTTGATATAAATAATAGTGGCAAAAAAACAACAACAACAACAACACACACACACACACACACATATACTACATGGGCCAAATTTGTGTTATAAAACAAGCTTGACTAAGCTATAATTAAGAACACTGAGATAACATCAATGTTATTAGTGTTAGTACAAGAAAGAGAATTGCTGGTTTAGAAAAGTTCTTGTCTTACCTTACTACCTTCTTTCACATTTTTATAGAACATTAAGAGAGTGAAGTGGCAGCATATGTGCATTTAGATTAAAGAAATTCATCTACAGGCACTTGGCAGGAAGAGAGGGCTATTTTTAAAAACAACAAACAAAAACCTACTATTCCATTCAATGAAATTTTGCCCCAGAGTAAGAAGACAGAATTGCTTCTTTTTCAAGTGGTTTCAGATCCCAAGTCTTTCAAACTGAGTTCTGTTCTTACAGGTAACAGAAGACATTGTAAAGAACAATTTTGTCTGTACTTGATTTGTGTGTTGATGTGAGAATCTAAATTCTCAGCAAGATAGGGCTTGATTGTGTACTGATGGCACAATGTGTTGCATTAAGTCATAATGTCAATTATATTGGTTCCTACCATTTCCCTGTCTGCATCCCCCTATCCCTATGATTATACTTGAGTTTTAGAAAGATCATTTTGGCAAATGTGTAGCAAATAGACTGTAGAAAGAAACCAGAGACAACAGTTATTTGCTGCCTTGAATTACTTAAATGATGGGAAGGGATGGGAATGGATAAAGGTTTCTTGGAAAAGACGCTCTTTACAGCTACTTTATGGGGATTGCCTCAGTTGTTGTTGTTGTTTTTGTTTTTTTTTTTTTTTTTTTTTTTTTTGAGACAGAGTCTAGCTCTGTTGCTCAGGCTGAAGTGCAGGGGTGCAATCTCAGCTCACTGCAAGCTCCGCCTCCCGGGTTCATGCCATTCTCCTGCCTCAGCATCCTGAGTAGCTGGGACTATAGAAGCCTGCAACCACGCCCGGCTAATTTTTTGTATTTTTAGTAGAGATCGGGTTTCACCATGTTAGCCAGGATGGTCTTGATCACCTGACCTAGTGATCCGCCAGCCTTGGCCTCCCAAAGTGCCTGGGATTACAGGAGTGAGCCACCATGCCCGGCCATGGACTGTTTCAGTTCTTAAGGGGAGCCCACCAATTATACAGTACCAGTATTTCTCTAACGTGACTGAGTACATTTATACTTCCCTCAAAATATACTTTTTTAAAAAGAAACGTTCTAAAATTTCAATGCTCTATTTTTTAAAAAGAAATATTTTAAAATGTTAAAGTGATCTTTTTTCTTTTTTTCAAAAGTAGTCTCATACTGGTTACAGAGTTTGTGACCTGAAAAGTTTTTAACACATTTAAACATTAAACATTTGTTCCAGGAACTGCTAGGCTTCTAGAGATTCAAAAATAAAAGATACCATTTTTGTCTTATCTCACTTAATTACAAATTTGACATAGGAGACTTTTCAATAAACTGTCTAAAGTACATAAAAGAAAGGAGACACTACCATTGAAAATGGGAGCCAAATTAGTTCACAGTTTCCCACCGTATTTATAGGATTTTGCTTGTAGCTCAGATCATTTCCTAACTTTGAACTCAAAGGTCAATGTGTTTCTGAAGTTCTTTTAAACTATATGATTCCCAGAATGGCATGCTATAAGGAGAAGATGATTTCATTTTATCTAGCAAGTGATAAATATGACATCACTATATTTTAAAACCCTGAAAAACAAATAGTACCATATGGTTTGTTTTCTTCCAACCGCAAAGTAACAATCTGTAGTATTCTAATAAACTGCTGTTAGGTCTAAGAATATTTTTGGCCAAATTTTCCTTTTTTCTTTGTTATAACTGGTTTGCTAATAGATTTCTCTAGCTTTAGTTATAATTAGAAGACAGTTACTGCTTTGCATAATCAAATTGTAATTGCTGTTTGGGTGAAATCCAACCAATTTAAGCATCAGTACCTTCAAAATCATGATGTCTGGCAAAAACAGAATAATAAATGTCAGACTCTAATGATCTAGGTTATCTAATAATGCTTGCTTAACTGTTGAATTATTTTAGAGGCTGGACAACAAGTAATACTTGAATTATCAACATATTTTGAGCATTACATTTGTAAATGACAATAAGTTAATGGTCTCCAATAAACACAAATGGTGATGATAAGGAATAAAAATTCACTTGAGATCAGAAACCTATCCCAGTCTTAGTTCTGTCATTGGTTAAATATGTGTTTCTGGGTGAGTCACTTAACTTTCTGGATCTGTTTACTGATTTGTAAAATGGAAGTTATGAAATCTAATGATAATGGACATTTGTCAATTTTATTCCATAGATACACCACATTTTGTTTATTCACTCATCTATGGAATAAAATATTTTGGCAAACAAATGAAGTACTGACACATGGATGAACCTTTCAAACATGCTCTCTTTTCTTGTCCTTAAAGTCTTGAAGCCTATTTTCCTCAACTCTCCATAGGGGTCAATGAAACTAGTATTTTCATCTCTCTCAGAGAGAGATCAGCCCTTGAGTGATTGTTGTCCCAACAATTAGCATCGACACTTTTAGTATTTGTTACCCCCAACCCAATTACTGTGCTCCCCAATGATCCTAAAAGCTAGGAATAAATTTGCTTTCTGTTAATGATAAATCTTTAACTCTAAAGAGAAACAGTGCTTGCTCATGTACTCTCACACACTCTTGCCCTCTCTTTCTGTGTAGTTATCTCTCCTGAGGAAAGTTGAATAATTTGAAGAATACTTTGAGTACCCAACTCTATAATGCACTTACTCCAAATCACCCTTAAAAAAGAAAGTAGTGTTTTTTCCTTGAAATCAATCACGCAATATCCCAGGGGTAAGCAGACTCTCCTATAGTAAAGATTTGTTTCTACCAACCCCAGGAAACTCAGAAAGAGGGGTAGTTTGTATTATTTCCTCTCATGACTCAATTAATTAATTAAAGAATTAATTCTAGGATCCTAGGGCCAAACAATCAGTTGCCATTTTTCACAGGAAGCTTAGGGCCCTCTTAAACAATGAAGATTCCAGGTAGTCTGCACTGATAACTCAGGGCTGCCGAACGGCAGGGAGATTGCCCCTGTCTCAAGCCTGCACAGCCTAGGGCACTTTTAATATATGAAGTACAATATTGAGGGGTGGGAGGAAGGCAGCCATGAGAACGCACCACAGATCTCCAATAACAGGGAGCTAACCGACCAAGGAAGGGCCCAGTTGCTGGCCGCTGAAACCATCTGCTGCATTTGTGCCAAAGCCACAGCTCCCACATGCTGCTCCCAGCAAATGACACAGTACAGCAGGGTTACCAATGCAGGACTCCTGAGGGCCTTGCCCGGCTACCTAGGACACTTCCCTCCAACTTTCTTGCCCTCTCTCCATCACTGCGCTCAGACAAGCACCTTAACTGACAATGCATGTCCCTCCTGCCCCATTTCTCCCTCAGGTGTCTCTCTTACTAAAACATTTGCATGATTAATCCTGTCTTGGCATTTGCTTCTCTAAACACCCAGCCTAACACATCTGGATTAATAACTTACTTAAATTTAAACATTTTTTAAACTAGCAACTTTAAAATTGGTTCTCAAATATTGGGTAAACAGGGAGTTTCTATTGATACTGACTTCTTCCTTCTGTATTTCAATCATCCCCATCTTGAAAAATATATCAATAAAAAATTGGGCTTTTAAATAGATGTGTCAAATTAATAACATTCTTAAAACTAAAAGATTGTCCTTTAATTACAGATTTATCCCCAGTCCTAATGGGAAGGGAGCAAATTAGGAACTGTTATTTGAAATTAGCCACATATGTGTCTGTCCCTCTCATCCCACCGTAACCTCCAGGAGGGTTGGCACCTGTCTCAATCATTATTTTTACTGAGTACCGGGTTCGTAGCAGGTACTCAAGAAATATCTGTTGAATGGAGGCAGGAGATGATATCAGTGATGTGAAACTACGGTGAGGTATAGAGAGTAAGGTGGGAAGGGGTTCCCAGATCTCTCTAGTTACATGAAATAAGCAATTGAAATACATGTGTTGCTTTTATTATGTAAACCACAGAAAATAAACTTTGAGTTTCATTTTACAAACCAGAGAAAGTAAAGTTCAACAAAAATCTTAGCTTTAATGAGAATAAGCAAAAGATAAAGTGAGAAACGTTACAGCGAACTGATTTTAAATGATTGAAGAACTCTGCACTCTATGGGCCTAAAATGATTATCCTGCTTTTTGGCCAAAATATCATATATATATATATTTAAACATTAATTATGTATTTTATAACATATGGATACAGATATTCCTCAGTACCCATGGGGGGCTGGTTCCAGGACTCCCTATGGATACAAAATCAGCAGATGCTCGAGTCTCTTACATAAAATGCTGTAGTATTTAAATATAACCTAGCACATCCTCTGGTATACTTTAAAGCAGCTCTGGATTACTTATAATACCTAATACAATGTAAACACTATGTAAATAGTTGTTATACTGTATTGTTTAGGAAATAAAGACAAGAAAATAATGTCTGTACATGTTTGGTATAGACAATTTTTTTTCCAGATATTTTCGATCAGTGGTTTGTTGAATAAACAGGTGCAGAACCCATGGATACACAGGGCTAATTGTATGTAGATTTCCTTGTATTGATAAATTTCACTATACT